AAAGGGTGGAGTGCCCACTCCGGGTCGGGGATGAGTTCCTGCCCCAAGTGGAGGAGTTCAAGTATCTCGGGGTCTTGTTCGCGAGTGATGGGAGAAGGGAGCCGGAGATCGACAGACGGATTGGGGCTGCAGCTGCAGTAATGCGGACGCTGCACCGGTCCGTCGTGGTGAAGAGGGAGCTGAGTGTAAAAGCGAAGCTCTCAATTTACCGGTCGATCTACGTCCCTACCCTCACCTATGGCCACGAGCTGTGGGTAGTGACCGAAAGAACGAGATCGCGGATACAAGCGGCAGAAATGAGCTTCCTCCGAAGGGTGGCTGGCCTCTCCCTTAGAGATAGGGTGAGAAGTTCGGCCATCCGGGAGGGGCTCAGAGTAGAGCAGCTGCTGCTCCACATCGAAAGGAGCCAGCTGAGGTGGTTCGGGCATCTGACAAGGATGCCCCCTGGGCGCCTCCTGGGTGAGGTGTTCCAGGCATGTCCCACCGGGAGGAGGCCCCGGGGCAGACCCAGGACACGCTGGAGAGATTATATCTCTCGGCTGGCCTGGGAACGCCTTGGTATTCCCCCGGATAAGCTGGAGGAGGTGGCTGGGGAGAGGGAGGTCTGGGCCTCTTTGCTTAGGCTGCTGCCCCCGCGACCCGGCCCCGGACAAAGCGGATGAAGATGGATGGATGGATGGAAAATTGAAGCGCAGCAGACCTCTGTTCCTACAAAGTTGTGTCAGAGTGGTTTGAGAACACTTCTGCATTGTTGAATTTTGAGCGCCAACATGGGGTTCTGTGCCATGTAGATAGATGAAGGGGGCAAATATCCAGACCACAAATATAGCCGAACTTTAAGCCCTAATATAGAGTAAATGAAAGAGATTTCACATGATTAGCATGCACTAATTCTGATGAGATGCTTCTACTTGCCTAATAAATGACATTCGTACATTAATTGTTATCAGATAATTAGTGAAACATCTTTGGAAAAAAAAACGACACTTCTCTGACACAAGGGATTGTAGTCTGTGTAAAGCAGTCAATAAGAATAAGCATTCATTCATAAGAGCTGAAAATATAAGGTAAACTGGTTTTAATCATAGTCAGATGTTTTCTTTTTTAAGCCTGGATTTTGATACTGAAATTGGAATGTTGATTTATTATCTTGTTTTATCAAAAAAAAAGAAAAAAAAAGATTACCACTTATTAGCAAAATTGTTGCAGATATTTTTTCTTCTCTTTTCTCCTTCTTTTTTCTTCTAAAAAATCAATTTATTGACCCAGCTCATATACTTTAAGATTAATGGACCAGTATAAAGAACATGTGTGTGGCTTGTGAGTAAAAACTCGATAACTGTTAACTGTTAAAGTACGTTTGTTCCTTTTATTTCAGATGTAGAATGTGTAAAAACTATGGAACATGACTTAGTGGTTGAAAGATGTGATGCTCAAAAATGACCCTCCAGCATTTACTGACGCTGAACGAAAGAAAAACAATATGTGAAATTAAAATGCAAAGAAACGCTGAAATTGCACTGATTGCACTGACACATTCAGTAAAAAACTTTATTTTGTGTATTCTTTCAAGCTACACAGAGTGAACAGCCACTGCTAATCACAGTATTCTACTTTAAATAAATAAAAGTTAAAACCAGGCTTAGCGCCAATATCCTACTGTGTAAAGATCACAGGCCAGGTGCCTGTGTTTTATTCTGTCTTTCTGTTCCTCTCTGCACCCTGCCACACCCAAGTGTTACAAAGGTCTCCCAATAAACCAAAAGAGAGATCCAACACAGCTGCTGGCTAAATAATCAGCCATCGTTTGCTTTGGTGACACATGCTTTGTGATATCTATCTATCTATCTATCTATCTATCTATCTATCTATCTATCTATCTATCTATCTATCTATCTATCTATCTATCTATCTATCTATCTATCTCTATCTATCTAATATCTATCTATCTATCTCTCTATATCTATCTCTATCTATCTATCTATCTATCTATCTTCTGTCTTGTCTGTCTGTCTGTCTGTCTGTCTGTCTGTCTGTCTGTCTGTCTATAGATATATAGATTATATTAGAAGCTGACTGCACTCCACGAGCGCCTGGCAGCACAAATGAACCAGCTGCTAGTTGACGAGAGACACCCGGAATGGCTAACCGAAGGCCGGACAGTCCTGATCCTCAAGGACCCCCAGAAGGGACCGGTCCCCTCCAACTACCGACCAATAACCTGCCTCAGCACCACGTGGAAGCTCCTGTCAGGCATCATAGCGGCTAAGATGAACAGGCACATGGGTCAATACATGAGAGTTTTTTAAAATTTTTTTCTCGTTTGGCTCTCGGCGAAGGCAGTCGCACTTTTCTCCTCTCCTCCTTCCCCTTATCTTCCCTGCTTAGCCTCTTTGTCCTTGTCTTGTCTCGTGTGTATTACTTTCCCTGGAACACTCTCTCACAGTCTGTTCTCTAAAACCTAAAAGAGAATTATGGATTTGATCAACTGGTCTCTGAATGCTATTGACACCCTTTTCTCAACGAGAAGTCTGGGCTCGGGAGAGCCCGAGTGCCCTGGAGGGACTTTCCCTGCCAGATACACGATGGACGGGTGGCAGAAATGGAGGATCGTGTGCCTGGCGGGACTGTCGATCAAGGACGCTGAAGATATCTGTCGGAACTATTCGGAACCATGATAACAGGGTTCTTGCTGATTGGAGCTGGCTTGGCCCTGGCTTATCGGAGAATTAAGAAAGTGGAACCAGCTGTTCAAACCCCCCCAAGGCTGCCCGCTGGGACGAGGCACGACTTCTCAGAATGGGCTCACTGAGTGCAGCATGGTTAGATCTTGGAGAAGCTTACGGCTGCTGTGAATACTCAGAATAAGACCTCTGAGCGTACATTGGACTACATCAAGTAGAAGTCCACTCAGAATAACATTTCTGAGAGAAAGTTGGATTACGTGGAGCAGCTCACTGCAGTCGGGAGTTCTCAGAATCGGCTCTCTGAGCACAAGAATGACAACACTCACGGCTCTCCAACGGGAGATTGAGAGACCAGTGTTGGTGTCGGCGTGTTAAAGAGCAGCTTTGAAATTCTCATGAGTTTTTCGCACAAAAGAAAAATCACCATTTTATTGCGGCTATCCCTTCGGCGCAAGGGATAGCCGCTCAAGGCTGGAGCCGAACAACAACACCCTGATAACGACTGTGTTTTTGACCGTTCTTCCCACTCTATGCAAGGCCACCTGGGTTGGCTGGAAGACTGTTTACTTAGCCTGGCAGGGCGAAGGACACTGTCTCAGCTGAACTCTGGACACACACACACACACACACACACTTACATCACTCATCCCCCCTCCCCTTCCAACGGCTTCGATGCTTGTTTCCTCCTGGGAACACGAGGCGGGTCTGGACCCGCACTGGAGAGACGGCGCAGTGGCAGGATGACTGCTGTGTTGCCTGGGATTACTCCTCATCCCCTACCCAACCCTGTTGCTGGTCACGTGCTCTATAATGTTGTACTTTGGACATTTATGTGCTTTCTGGGCAGAGGAGTTTTTTTTGTTTCCTGTTCTCATGTTGTCCTCCTATAGCCCAGCATGAGTAGAAGTCTCTTTTTTTCCTCTTGTACGTTCCCATTGTAGTGTACATTTCAGTGGTTTTTCTGTAATGCAGCCGTTCTCTGACTTGTATCCCCATGTGATGTCTGTGTTGTGTGTGTAAGGTCGGGGGGCGGGTTCATTCCACTGCAGGGCAACCTGTCACTGCATGTGGCAAATAAAATTTGAACTTGAACTTGAACTTGAGCGGGGCACAGAAAGGGATGGGCAAGAATACCAGAGGCGCAAACCATCTACTGGCAGACCAAGCAGTCAGCCGAGACTGCAGGACCAGACTGACCAACCTGTGCACGGCCTGGATTGATTACAAGAAGGCCTATGACTCAATGCCCCACACCTGGTTCCTGGAATGCCTAGAACTATATAAGATCAACAGGACCCTGAGAGCCTTCATCAGGACCTCAATGGGGATGTGGCGGACAACAGTGGAGGCCAACCTCAAGCCCATAGCACAAGTCACCATCAAGTGAGAAATCTACCAAGGAGATGCTCTGTCCCCACTGCTGTTCTGCATAGGCCTGAACCCCCTCAGTGAGATAATTGACAAGACTGGCTACGGATACCGACTACGGAACGAAGCAGTTGTCAGCCACCTCCTGTACATGGATGACATGAAGCTGTATGCCAAGAGTGATACATTGATTCACTGATCCACACCACCAGGCTATACAGCAATGACATCGGAATGTCGTTCGGGCTGGAGAAGTGTAGTCGGATGGTAACAAAGAGAGGGAAGGTAGTCAGAACGGAGGGGATCAAACTACCAGAAGGCAACATTGCAGACATAGAGGACAGTTACAAGTACCTGGGGATCCCACAGGCGAATGGGAACCATGAAGAGGCCGCTAGGAAAGCTGCAACCAGAATGACCGAGCTAAGACAGACGGACAAAATGGTGGTGGCTAACCAACCGGACATAGTGGTGGTAGACAAACAGAAGAAGACGGCCGTAGTGATTGATGTAGCGGTTCCGAATGACAGCAACATCAGGAAGAAGGAACACGAGAAGCTGGAGAAATACCAAGGGCTCAGAGAAGAGCTCGAGAGGATGTGGAGGGTGAAGGTGACGGTGGTCCCAGTGGTAATCGGAGCACTAGGTGCAGTGACTCCCAAGCTAGGCGAGTGGCTCCAGCAGATCCCGGGAACAACATCGGAGATCTCTGTCCAGAAGAGCGCAGTCCTGGGAACAGCTAAGATACTGCGCAGGACCCTCAAGCTCCCAGGCCTCTGGTAGAGGACTCGAGCTTGAAGGATAAACCGCCCGCAGGGGCGAGTGGGGAATTTTTATATATATATATATATATATATATATATATATATATATACACACATATATACACACATATATACACACATATGTATATATATATATATTTTTAAATAAAGGAGTCAAGGTTGTTGCTTTAGCTAAGAAGAATTTTATTAAAACTATTATTATTAGCAGTAGTATTACTATTATTTTGTTAATTTGAACACATTTGAATTTACAATGGCAATATAGAACAGCAAATTAAGCATAGACACATATTTGAACAATTTCACTCACTTAAGAAATGAAGAAATTATAAACACACACACACACACACACACACACACACACACACACACACACGAATTGCACAAACCAACCAAGCAAATACACAAAGAAAACCAACCAGTATCTGTGAAATACAAATACATATGTACTTTGCAAACTGCTGTGGTGTTACAAACATAAATATACTAAGAGGATCTTGGTTACATACTTTTTAAAAGGGTCTAAAAATGGGATCCTTGGAGCATCACGCACACATAAATATACACTAAAGAGGTCCTTGGTTATATGCTTAACAAAATGGACCAGACATAGGTTATAATCTATTCAAAAACTTTAAAAAATCATTGAGAAAAAATTGTGACTAACGCTCATTGTCAACTTCCAGAAAATAAAAAAAATAAAAGAAAGGAGCATAGTGTAGAACATATTTGAATATTTGAACATTTTGAAATAAATTTTAAACACATGAATATACAGACATTTGAAATAAAGTTATCCTTACATGAAAAACTCTTTTCTATTTGCACACACAGTGAAACTGTGAAAAGGAAGACAAAGTTTCACCTGGGGCAGTATTGGATCTATCTGTAGTTTCAGTCTCAGCAGAAACTCTCTTAAGCAAATATTACAGGTCATGCAAAACACACGCACACACGAACACACTGAACAATCACACCAACCAAATGCATGTAAAATGAGAGCTGACTCTTCCTGGTCATTGTCAGTGAAATGACAGATCACATTTTAACAGCAGGTTTCAGTGAAACACAACACCACGCAACCAGCCAAGAGCTAATAAGAGGACGACACACAGGTGTTTTCAAATTCACATAATGCCAAGAATTTAGTAGAAATATTTTCCCAGTTAAAAATCTTAAAAGAATAAAGTTATTTGTTTAAGCTCCCATGTTAAAGCACTGAAAAATCTAAGTCTTTTTTTTAAGCAAAACAAAAGGATGTGAATAAACATATCAGCTAAAAGCAAAGCAGAAGATTAATATTTCTACAACATCTTCATCTCGGAGTCTTTCAGTCGGATTCACGCTGTGGTTTCCGGTAAAAAAAAGTAACATGCATACAGACAAAAACTCACACACAAAAATAATTTTCCTTCCATCCTTCAGCATTAATTCAGACGTAGTCTTTCTTGTCATATCCTCCACCTGCACTAATGCTGCGTGGGGCCGAGTACCCCATCCTGGGTGGCAGATATTTCTTTTCTTTTGGTGGGCAGCTAGTGCACAACATCGCCCCTCCGATCAGGAACACTCCGGCTGCAGCCCAGCCTATGTAGAGCGACGCCCCTATCTCCCTCCTTTGAGCGCTGATCACAAGAGGGTTGTAAAAATCAGTGATGATAACTTGGGCAGTCCAAGAAACAGGGATGAGAACCAAGAGGCCACTGAGGATGAAGAAGACTCCAGCAATGATCATCACTTTGGCTTTGCTTCCTTCCTCTTCAATGCAGTTGGTGCACTTGGCACCGACTATGGAGATCATGACGCCCAGCACTCCGAGTATAATGGCAATAACCATCATTGCTCTGGACGCCTGCAGTTCCGGAGACAAGGCCAGCAGCGAGTCGTAGACCTTGCACTGCATTTGACCTGTGCTCTGGACAACACAGCTCATCCACAAACCCTCCTGGATGATCTGAGCAGTGACAATGTTAGCTCCGACAAATGCACTCACCTTCCACATTGGTAGGGCACATGTTAATATGGCTATAAGAAAACCAATGACTCCAAAGGCAATGCCCACGATCTCCAAACCCATCGACATGTTCGCTCTCGTGTGTGGTGACAGAACAAAATCCAAAAAGCGAGTCCACAGTGTCCAACAAACTGAGTCCCTCAGGTGAGTCTTTGGTGAAAAGGATTCTGCTTTACTATCAGGTGCTTGTTGAAGTGTGAGCAGCTGTATGAGGGTGTGGCGTAGCTTTAGGATGCTGCTACAGAAACAAGATATCTTTATACCTCGAGAGAACAAGGAGGAGTCCTCTGGTGTTGATGTCAGCGAGAGGCTGTCTTCACATACACACAGAACAAATACACACATGTGAACATACAGTGGAGGAGGGGAGCTTGAGGCAGAGCAAGAGAGCAGTGATGTGATGGAGGCAAGGTGTGGCTGTGGTTTGTGGGGGATGGGCAAAGGTAGTTCTCTCTTAAATTCCAAGAACTATGTAAAACATGTCACCTGTTTTCTCCCAGGAACCGATTTCACCATCACGTGGGTGGACTCACACATCCCTTCATACACGTCCCTACCAAGCACTTATCTGCAAAATCTTATACACAAACACATCACACTTCATACATCAAGTTACTGTTGCAAAATGCTCAGTCTTTTGTACAAACCACTGTCATTGTTGCACATTTCTATAGCACTATCTTGTGTCTGCATCGTTCTGTTCTGTCTGATGTTACACTGCCTTTGTTTTCTTTTTTTTTTGTTTTGTTGCAATTTTGGCACACTTGCACTTAATCTACTCCTGTGTTGATTGTCTTTTATATGTTATATGTAGCACCATGGTCGTGTAGGAACGTTGTCTCGTTTCACTGTGTATTGTACGGCTGCACATGGTTGGAATGACAATAAAGCCTCTTGACTTGACTTGATGTGTGTGATTAAACTGTGACTGTACAAAGTAATAATGAAGAAGACACCAAAATGAGGCACTTGACCTTCTAATTCACTGCATATGAATGAATGAAAAAAAAGAGCATAAAAAAGTTACTGGCTAACTGTAAATGCTACTTTGCATTAAGTGATTAACATTACGGGGCAAAAAAAAAAATCCTTTGACCTCAGGCTACTTCAAAAGCTTTGTTGTGAATCAGAAACTTAACCATGGTGAAAAATAACCCTCAGGTAATTATTTTGTTACTCCCTGGTTTCATTCATTCAGACTTTTAACGACAGTCAGGATTTAGTGTCTGGAAAACAATCCCAGAGCTCTTCTGAGAACCGGAATAACTGCATCAAGAACAAATATGAAGAGAGAGAAAACATAACAGTGCTGTTGTCTGACACCCTAAGCATACAGAGGGAGCGTGACCTTCTCAGTATCGGTTAGACTCTGACCAATCATTTTCCTGAAACACACACATGTCCACTCAAGAAAAAGCGAGCTACAAAAGCTCCCTATCACTTTGTAATTCAGCAAACAATTTATAGAATGAGTTCTGAAAAAGTATTATTTTTTAAAAAAAAGAAAGATAATGAAATGAACCCCCCTATGATTGAACTTTTAGCTGACCCCAAACTTTTGAGTGGAACTATGTGCTGTAATGTGATCTATATGGGTTTTAATGCATGTTAGGAAAGTAGACTCATTATATTTTTTTAAGAATTTTAAAATTTTTGGTAATGATTTTCTAATAACCTGTAAAAAGAGAGATTTTATTACATATGTAAAACACAGTTCACATAATAATTTCTGCTGGTTATGGAAACTAAAACTTTTCTTTCAAATGCACAGCTCACGATAACAAGCTTAGTGACTTAACGTTTCTGCTGTACACACAACTGCATGTCAACATTAAGCTGTCATAAACCAAAATAGGGCTCAAACATATAAAAACAAGACTGGAAAAAATAAGGGAGCCTGTTTGCAGTTTCATCATGAACATCGGGATCAGATGTTTATGTATTACATCATCTTTTCATCAATGACAACTGCTATTATAACAGCTAACACCTGTGTTACCAAAAACAAACGCATGAGCATAAGCAGCAGCTGTTTCCTCCCCAGTAATTTAAGATAAAGATCTCCACCAAACAAATAGGAGAATACATGCTGATGGTGTTTCTATTACTGCATTACACCTTAGATGAACCACATTTACTCTCCTCACAAGTTTGCAGATTCAGATTAACGTCTGTATTTTCTTTAATACTTATTAATGGGAATAGATTTCTTTATCTATGGCCTTTATGTCTCATTACCAAGGAGTTTCAGTAGTTCCAATAAAAGCCTTTCCTGGTTGTTGAAAGTTTACTCAGTGTACTGATGAGCGGAGTCAGTCATGTGCTGTAATGGCGCAGCACAGGGTGGCTGCTCACATGCTAAAGGTCAGGATAATTTGACTATTCAAACCAGGAAAAAGTTGGTATCTGTGAAGGCACTGAATCAGACAATAAACAGAAGGGACTTTTTCCCAAATGACATCAGATTTCATGCGTGAGTTTCAGAAGAGACTCTGATGAATGTGTAATGAACTTGGTACATTTATTTATGTGACCTGTTGTGCTTTACTTAAAAAAATGTTGTTAAAATGTTGTCCAGTGGATTACGTATTACTCTTAGTTTCTTCGTCTTTCTACAGAATTTAGAAACCTGTTTACATGCACTCTTGTAGAACATTAAACAGTCAATCAATGTTAAACCAGTAGTTACTTGTAATTACTTTATTAACCTAAAGTATTTTAATCAAGTCAGATTCCAAAATAAAATATTTGTATTTATGGAGTCAAATGCATTATAAAAGTTGTATCAAAAATCAGATAATATTAAGATTTTTTTGTCAAACACACAAAGGTGAATATGTAGAAATGAAGGACATTAAGTAAAGTACAATACATGAAAGTTTGTCAGATTTAAAAATGGTAGGAATACAGAAACATCAAATGATAAAATATGGAAGAATGAACAAATAAAATTACTTACGTATCATTCTAATAAATCATACATTTGCCACCCTTTTGACCTTCGTTTGAAGCCGAGGGTGAGCTCCACTTTGCTCAGCTGCATGCTGTTTCACATCTGTGACTCAGCATGTCTGTTTTGTACGAACGTCCAAAAAGTCATCACATGAAACTTATTCCAGTTACAGTGTCTGTCTGCTTTGAATCTATGATAGTTTGTATATACAAAGTCATCAGTACATTGATCATTAGAATAACGACCGTCCACAACAGACACTAATGCTATGAATGTTATATTATGAATAAATATATATAATATTTTTTTCTCTGCAAATGTTTCTTCACAGTGCTGTGACAAAGAATCACATCGTTTGCCATAACTGATCATGATCACAATTTCAATCTGCTCAGTTAGACTAAATATAGAGAATATGTAAACATTGTCCTAAAGAAACTGCAAATTCAGTGTCAAGACTATATAGACATTCTTGTCATCCTAAATATCGATAGATTTCCGTACACCATAACATTTGTATCTGTTTAACTACATTTTTATAAAAATAGCATGCAATCCCCTCCAATCCTCTTTAGTTTTTGTCCTTTTCCACTCACACATAGTCCCTTCTAGTATAGGAGCTTTGAGCTGCCGACATCGGAGCGGCTGAGTATGCTGCACGACTCTGGGGCTGTATGTTATACTTCAGTGGTTTGTCTTCCTTTGGAGGGCAACTGCAGCAGAGGATAGCTCCCCCAGTGACCAGCAGGGCTGAGGCAGCCCATCCCACATACAGTGATGCCCCGATCTCCATCTTCTGCCCAGCAGGGATGATTGGACTGTAGAACTCGACGACAATGGTGTTTGCTGACCAGGAAACAGGCACTAGTTGAGCCAGACCTGCTATGATGAACGCCACTCCAGAAGAGATCATCACCTTGGCTTTAACCCCATCCTCCTCGATGCAGTTGGTGCACTTGGCTCCCACCATGGCAATGAGGAGAGCAATCAACCCCACTAGGATGGCAACAACTGTGAGTGCCCTGGCAGCCTGGAGGTCCTGAGGTAAAGCCAGCATCGAGTCGTAGATTTTACATTGCATCTGGCCCGTGCTCTGGACCACACAGCTCATCCACAGACCCTCCCAGTACACCTGAGCAGTGACGATGTTGGCGCCAATAAAGGCCGAGACCCTCCACATTGGAAGGGCACAGCTGGTCACAGTGAGAGCCCACCCCAACACTGCCAGGGTGATGCCGGCCAGCTCAAGTCCAAAAGATGCCATGGTGCAACCACGCAGTCCTTTTTTATATTTTCTCTCCCTGTGTTTCAAGACAAGATAACGTTTTTTCTCCCTTCTTATTTTCTCAAGTTCTTTTTCCTTGTGTTTGCTTCAGTGACTATCTCAAGCCTTTGTTATTTGGTCCTTTAATTTCCTCTTTTCTGCACCTCTCTCCAAAAGGTACGCCCTTTTCTGAAGCTGTAGCCACTGTAGTTCCTGCTGAATCCACTCAGTGTACTTCCTCCAGGGACTTTCTGCACCACGTATTTGTCCGTTCTTGAGCAGCCGTTGACCCTTATCTGTGTACCTTTTTATTATAAACTGGTGTGACCCACCTAGGGGATGACATCACTCGCCAAACTAAGCCAATCAGGTGAGTCCTGTGCATCGGCCTCATTTATCGCCTGGGTGTGTTGGCACTCGTTTGTGTGCTTTTTCAAATGAAGAGTGTTTTCATGGTTTAACCTTTTGCCCCTGGTAGCTCTAGGTGTGCCTGTTTTATTGCTGTTAATAGATAATGAGTGGCCAGGACAGACCTTGTTATGCAGTTGATAAGTGACCACACAGGACCGCATGCTTTCTAAAAGATTTGTATGTAAGCGTTAGCATACATAAAGCGTGTGTGTACACAGAGTGGGAGAGACAGAGGAATAAAAAGAATCTGCACAGATTATTATATTTGACTTGATGTTATTTTTTTTCCATTTCCAGTTTTCTGTGTCACATTTTTATAGCCGCAGCTGACACACATTATTACAGTTTTAACACCAGTGACGCGTACCACAGTAGTTCCCGCAGGGTTAGAAATTCATAACTAGTTTCGCAGTAAAACTGAGTTAATGTTAAACTAGAAGCAGAAAGAATGCACTATATAGCTGTGTCACTATGCCTTGTGTGAACTTAATAGGTTGCTGTAAATTCTACTACTGAATGCTAGTCAGTTTCTACCAACAAGTTAATACTAGTACTATACATAGAAAAAAATTGTCCGGCTGTAATTACATTCACAGTAATTAAAGTTACAGAAACATTTTTTTAAAGGACACGATTTATACAGTGCCAAATCACAACAGTTGTCTCAAGGCACTTTATTGTGTATGGGAGCCAATGAAGGGAAGCCAATATAGGAGAAATATGCTCTCTCTTCTAGTCCCTGTCAGTACTCTTGCTGCAGCATTTTGGATTAACTGAAGGCTTACAGTAGTTATTGTAAATGTAATTAATGGTTATTTACTGTAATCTAATTTGCAGTAATTTTTTTTACTGCATTTGTATGTACAGTATTTGCAGCATGTATTCATTATAGTATTTTATTTTTCCATTTTATTTTACTGTATTTTAAATGATTGCACTGTTAATGTGGTTATTTTGTAATGTTGCAGGATTAACATAGTTAATCAGAAAATTAGTCGTGAATGCCTAAAATGAATTTTAATTGTTGAAAGCACAAATTACAAGTGCGTATATACTTTAACCATTATGGTTAAAATTAAAAGGCAACAAAAATGCCAAACCAGAAGCGGCAAAAACGCAAAGTGTTAAATTCATGAGGTGCACTTGAATTGATGTTGTATTTGAAGAGAGGAAAAAAGCCGTGGTACAAAATAAGCTAAAAATCCATCTGGCCCATCTGACATGCAACTGGTATGTTTGATGCTACAGTGTTTGGTCTGATTTTAATCGGGTGGTTGCTAGATAACATGACGTGTAATCCAAGTTTTGTGGCTATAGGTTTGAATATTGTGCGTAAGGTGTGGTTGGGGCTGGAGGTATATCTGTGTGCCAGTTTTGCTTGCTGACCTGATTTTGTAAAAAGAGGTCATGAGCAAACATAGGCTTATATCTATAGCTTATCTATCTACAGTTATCTCATCATTAACTAAGCTAAAGTGAAAAATTGATGATGTATAAAAAAAGTTTGCTGTAGTTTTACAAATCATTCTGAGGGGAACATGAGTATCTGGACCACATTCATCATAATCCATCCAATAACTAGCAAATCAAAGTCACCATACAGCAGATAAAGTTCTAACATAAACCGTCTTTACTGTATTTCAGGAAGAGTTAATTTACTGAGTCCTAAGTAAACTCGTTATTCACTGGGCTTGGACACACAAGTCATCTTCAGAACGAAGTGATTTGTTAAAGCAGATAGACACTGCAGCACAGAAAAATCTTTAACTTACATCAGCTCTGATCAGAGAGCTAATAATTAGCAGAATTATGAGGAACTCTTTTTCTTAATGTGTTACCTTCAACAAGTTTTTCTCAGTAACATCACACGTAACACAAGTAACAGTGGCTTGATGCAGAAAAATAATTTTAGTTCTACAGTTCACATGTAAGCACAGTGTCTCTCTTTTTATTCGGGTTAGCATACTACACTGTGCGGACTGAGGCAAACGTGAAATAAGGATTTCTCTAATCTTTGATGACCCAGAAAAACTACATAATGAGGAAGAAGACTTCTTTACAACAAGACCTAATGGACTCTTAATAAAAGTCACTGAGCTGTGTCTCGATACCTTTGTCAAACTCATTGCTGATATCCCCATTGCAACTATAATAATCTGCGGCGGAGTGGCGCAATCAAAGTCCGGGCTTAAATCAGATTGAGATGCTTTGACATGACCTTTAACGCCATTCATGCTTGAAAACCCTTCACTGCGGCTAAATTAAAACAATTACGCACAGAAGAGTGAGAAAGAATTCCTGCATGGCGATGCAAAAAATTCCCTTTCAGTCAGCACAGATGCTCAATTGTAGTTCTTACTCCCAAGGGTGGCACAGCTAATTATTTATTTTAGAAGGAAAATTCTGTTTTCACACAGGGCAAGGAAGCTTTCACCCCTTAATAAATGACATCACCATTTAAAAACTGTATTTTGTATGTACACAGGCTATCTTTGCCTAACATTAAACTGTGTTTGATGATTCGAAACATTTAAGTGTGACAAAAATGTACTTGTTTCAAAACATGAAAATAAGGACTTATACAAAAGTACAGAGTAGTAAAGTATTGTGAAGAGACCTACTGTGTTCTTAGTATCAGTCACTGAGTCTGTATTTCCATGAAAGTGTCTCAATACTTTTGTCTACCTGATCACACTTTGTCTTGCATACGTGTACACTTTATCAAACTGTAATATTTGTCAAACACTCCCGGTCAAAAAAAAGGTGACCCAGAAACCACGATAAGATAAAGCCTAATAAAAGGCAATTATTAAGATAATGTTGTATTTGGGAAGGAAACAATACAGTGAACCAACAACTCAAATCTGATTGTCAATTGTATGTCTTTATTTGCGTGTTTAAACAAGAAATATATGATAATGCAGTTATTATTCTTGCTTCCTTCCTTTCTTTGCTTTTGCTCCAAATCTATCCTTTGTGTACACAAGCCACTAGGCAAATTTTTGGCATCACTGTAGCTGCTAATAATGCATGATAGTAGTCGGACCTGACATTAAGCAAACTTGCCTGAACAATCCACCAAACTAGAGACCATCTGCAGCTTCTGGAGCATCAGCTGGCTTTAAAATTAATTTGTGCAAGTTAATGAATGCATCTTACTCACTCTTGCTGCTTTCTCACTGATACCATTATAATCAATATACTCAAACATTTGTGGTGGCTACTGCTATAGTCTCTACAACTTGCACTTGCCGTGGCAATTTTGGACAGATCCCAGCTGAAGGATAAAAGAGAAATTGATATATTTCAATAATATATTTCATGTTATCATTTTTATACTTAGCTTCATTATCTGGTAATGTTTTAGCATTAGCTAAAATACACAACCATCAACAGTGAAGAGCCAAAAGAAGCAAATGATTAGGAACACTTGACAATGATTGCTGGCATTAGATAAAGGAAGGAGTGAAAAAAAAAAGGTTCATTATTGATCATAGGACCAGTATCTCATTTGCTTTATGGTGAGATCTTGTTTTATTTTGAGTATCATATCTGACCTTGAACTGTAAGATAATATCAGCTTTATTATTAGTACGATATTATTAGTAACTTGCAAGAAACTGAGTAAAACACTCAGTTGTCAAGAAACTTAAAGAATTCCAGGCGCTTTTCTTTCCAAGTTTCTTAGACAGCACTGTAAGCAAATTCATCCAAGATTTTGGGGTGATCTGGTGACTTAATAATAATAATTATTATTATAATTATGTTGTTTCATCAGTCAGTGAAAATGCTAGCTCAGTAAACCTTGATTGATCACTAGAGATGTGTTAGTTGGAAAGATGCAAAATTTCTACCCCACTAAATGTGATCCATGATAGTCACTTAAGTGATAAGTCAGGTGGTATTGATTTCAGGCAACAGTAATGCAATGGTATAAAGCAAAACTGTGTAAGTAGGAATGTTCTTCCTCAGGGGTGGTTAGCCATTTAGGTATAAGCAGCTTATGTCATGGTCCTACAGCCCTGGGCAGTATGTGACTTACTCTGAATATTCTTGCATCACAAGTTTTCTTTGGGTTTGGCAGACACAAAGTAAGTTGCATAAAACGAGAGTTGATGTTGTCATGGTCCTGGGTCGGTGATCCAATGTTTTGTGTTTTATTAATTAATGCTTTCATTATTATTTATAATTTCTAGTCTCTTGGTTTCTGTGCATTCCCTGTGGTTCCACGTTTAGTTACTCTTGTCTCCATGTCTCAGAGTCTAGTCTCGTCTCTCTTTTCATGCCCCCAGTCTCGGTGTAATGTCTGCCTCGACAGACATTACAGCATACTTCTAATTTAATCACACATTCAAACCATTTGGTGAATAATGATCAGTCAGTCACCATCTGGTAACCCCTTGTGGCTACTAAAATAATAATAATAATACTAGTAAAGTATATATTTTTTGGTGTAGAAGGAGGGGTACATACATTTTTTCTTTGACATTTAGCTTCACTTACTCTAATTCATTGAGAACTATCTTGCGAGTGCACTAAGCAGTATCGCTAAAGCTGGTTACTGCACTTTAGAATTAGTTATAAAAATGAATTTGTTTTTTGAACATAGAAGCATCTAAATGTCTTCCTGGAGGTTGGTAAAGATATTAGTTAATATATGAAGCTTTAAATACACATGGAGTAGTTTTAGATAATAAATCCATGGTTCTGCCTTACGAAGGATTACACGACCTACCGAGGCCTCAAATATCTTGTTCCTTGTAAGTATAATTAATGAAAGTTTCTCATCCAGAGTCAGTTGTATCTGTGATTCAGTTATGAGGATGGCCTTTTTCTTAAAAAAAAAACTAAGCAAAAAAAAACCCACATGTAAAACCAAACAGGAGATTTATCACCTTAAAATTATGAATCTAATTTTGGTGTGACAGTAATGTTTTTACATCCTTCTCTGCTAACTTGTTTCTGTTGAATGAATTGTAAATACTATTAATACCCCAGCTTGTGCCTTTGTGGGAAATAGAACGATCGTATCAATACTGTACTTGCGTTGTGTTACTAATTAAACTCAGTACACTACAACTTCAAGTGCTATGTACTCAACAGGATAAGAGACGCAAAACAAAAACTAGAAGCATGAATGCTGACTCAAGTGTTTTGATCGGCCAGTTATGCAACCCAGTTCCTGGAACTGCCTGTTGAGAATTATTCACCAAGAAGCAACAGGAAGACTATGACTACTGGAAAGTTTAGATATTATTTTGCCATAAAATGGTCTCAGAGAGCTGGATCTCAATTGAAAATAATTTGAATATGTTATTGAGAATGGTCTATGATTATCAATAGTGATATTTTTTTTAATATCATTTTCACTGAAGCAGATTTACATTGTGTGGATAATTTCAATTGTTTGTTTTGTCAGTTGATGAATTAGTTTCAGTTTACAGAGGGATTACCCATTTTGTGTTTTCCACCTCTGTGTGTGTGTTTGAGATCCTTCATCATATCTAAAGGGGGTGTAAACAGGGATTTCAAGCGTAAACAGCAACCGTATCATTTGGTTAACTACCAGAGGAAATCCAGATAGTATATCTGTATGAGTATCAACCCACTGCCAACACAAGGAGCATAGTAACCCGAATACAGAAAACACGAGAGGCACTTTTTCCTCTTTCACCCACAGTAACACTTAAACTGTTAGTCAGTTTTCAAATAATAGATAAAAACTTTATATTTAACATATTTAACTGAGTATTTATCTCTTTCCAGATTACAGATTGAACTGTCTGCAGCGCTACTTCATATAAAACATTAAAAAGCTTTTTTCATATTAAGATATTAATCACAAGCTCTCACTGAGATATAATACTCTGCAAAAGTCTAATGCCATTTCTTCATCCACTCTTTTTGCTTCCAGATTTCTTTGAATGCTTTAAAATGGTCTTGATCAAAAGTTCTCTGGACTGTCCCAAGGTCTTTCTCAAGTTTTTCTTTGGACAGTGTTTGCTTTTTCACTCATTTTCAACGACAAAAACATTTCAGTAATGTTTTTTTGTTTTTGTTTGTAAAGCCACTTTATATCTACAAAGGAATCATTCAAGGATAAAAACAGGCCCCTAACTCAAATAAGAACCAAATTTACATCTAAAAGATTGGAAATTTGGCTTATGTTAGCATGAGGAAATGAGAAAATTGGACAAGTGGTTAACAAAAAAAAAAGAAGTTACAGTATCTGAAAGTCATTTCTTCAATCATGAAAGCAGAAAAATGTCAGATTGTGATCCATCATGCAGTACTACTTGGAAAGCGTCTGATTGATAGCAGCTTCATTTTTAAGCACAACAGCGATTCCAAACACACTATTAGCCATTTTGGCCTCTCCAGAGCTTGAATGGGAAGAAAAGTTTGCCAACATTGAGAGCTTTGAATGTCCTTCATGAAGCCTGGGAAATTATTCTTGAAGACTAAAGAAATTAAAAGGAACTTTTCCCAAGAGAGTTCAGGCTGTGCTGAAGAATGAAGGTGGACATACTAAATATTGACTTTTAAGCTAGTTAGAACTGTACAAACACAGTTTTTGCTTCATTTACTTTATTTTTACTGTTTGTATGTTTAGGCGATTTAAAAAAAATCTTTTTTCAAATATACTGATTTTTCAAGTTTCCAGCAAACTGTCAATCCCATTTCCTTTCAAACAGTTCAGTGCACAGAGAGATGGTGATTTCCACAGGCAGCCTTTGTTGTCTGTTCTTCTGTTCTAGAAGCAGAACGTTGGCTACAAAGCCATAAATGCTTTAAAGGAGGGTGGAGCCTTGCATTTAATGGGTGCTTAGAGAGTTATGGTCACATAAGAAATGGAAATAAAGGATGTTTGAGCACAGGTGATAGCACACTTTCACAATCTTCCAGACATATATCTCTTAGTACATGTACTGCATCGAAAAAAAGGTTAAAGTTGATATTATTTTCTGTAAATGCAAAGTTTAAAATTAATAGGCTGCTTCTACTAACTGCAACCTCAGATTCTGGTTACGCAGAAAAAGAGTTCACATCACCAACTGCATACATGCGTGTGCACATGCCATACATGCACAAGCACAAAAGTAGACACTGCTGTCACCTATTGGGCACAATGAGGAATAACAGATAAAAGGGGAAACATAGCAGGCAAAACAGAGTTTATCATTCTCCTTTGATTTCAATGCTTTGATTTGCTGCAATAGCTGCAAAATCCAGACATGCCAAATATGTTGTACATCACCTCACTGACTACTCTTTGATGCCTTCATCCACTCACCCTAAATGAGCTTCATACACAACAAAAGCTCTGTTCTTGTAACCTTCAGCAAACAAAAAGCTCTTGTATGTTCACATTTACAATTGGCCTTCAGTCTGAGCTTCAGAACACTCACAGAGCTTCTCTCACCTCCAACCTCAGCCTGCAGTTTGTACGCCTTCTTAATATTTTTCCCACTTCATAAATCACATATTTATTTGAAAAATAAAGTTTGGACACTGTGTAAAATGTAAATAACAACAGACTGAAATGATTTGTAAATCTCATAAACCCCCAATAGAACATAAAAAACACATCAGTTGTTTAAGGAGATGCAATATTTTAGGAAATATATTTGCTGATTTTGAAGCAACATATCTCACTTTGTAGCATTGCCTCTTCTTTTAACTGCAGTGTGTAAACATCTGGAAATAAGGTAAGCACCTGCTGAACTTTTTGGGAGAGCACAGTGTTCCCATCTCTGTCTGATGTAGGACTAACAGTTCATTCATTCTGGGTCTTCTTTTCATTTTGTAATGCTCCACATATTTTTAACTGGTAAAAAGTCTGGACTGCAGGCAGGTCAGTTCAAAACTCTTCTACTATGAAGCCATTTTGCTGTAATAGATGCAATATGTGTTTTAGAATTGTCTTTCTTAAATATGCAAGGCCTTTTCTGAAAAAGATGCCACCTGAAAGCTACTATATCCAAAGGCACTGCCATACCTTCAGAGATGCTGGCTTTTACACTGAGAGCTGTTGATAAGCTGGATGACCCTCTTTTCCTTTTGACATGTTCCCCATGTTCTATAGAGAATAAAACAGGAGTTTGGGAGATTTGCAAATCACATTATCTGTTTTATTGACATTTTAGACAGTGTCCAAACATGTTCAGAAATAAGATTGTATATTATTTTTTCTTTCTCCAGGAACAGTTTGAGAAAACAGAAGTGACAGGACAACAGGTGTGTCTTGTGAAGTGTTTATGGAAGCATAGGTTGATTAGATATCACACATCACACACAAGAATGTTATAGGATAATATGAGTTCGTCAGTATTGAGCTACTGGGAGAGGCAACAATCTCACAATCTGTAAAGCAAACAGAGTGGAAGACTGACATCCGGAGCTGGTTCATCTCCTGTTTTCCTTCATGCTGACTGTAAGTGACACCCTACACTACGTGCACTTCTTTGAAAAAACCCCACACACCAGTAATTCATGAATTTGGTGAAGAGTAAGTGCTTGAAAGATTTACACTACTTCGCTTACATGTTATTTCTGCTAATTTTTCATTCGAGGTCAAACACAAATGTAGAGCAAACAGTTAGGTGTACTTTGTTCTTTTCATTTCAATTTATGATTTAATTATTTTACTGTTCTTAATTTACTTAAATCTGAACCTTTGTATTTTACACTGGATGCAGTTATCTAATAAAATAGGTCAGGGATTCCCGAAGCGTGGGCTGGGGCCCCCTGGTGGGCTGCGAAGGTACTGCAGGTGGGCCATAGTAGTAAGAGAAATTCTGTTTAAATTTACTGTCAAGTATGTACAAGTAGATATTTATATAAATATATTATTTTATATAAAAAGCAAATTAAAACTGGTAATAGGAGGTGGGCAGTTTGTGATATTACTTGTTACTCTGACTTGCATATGACTGGATAGTATTGGCATTTTATAAAAAACTGTTTGTGTTATTTATGATTTCTTAAAAAACTAATTATAAGGAAATATATCACTCTTTCATTGGGACTTTGGGAAAAGCAGATGAAGATAATTTCCTGTCAAAGATTATTAATACTCATAGCAGATTAAAACTGATCATTATTGTTTTTAGGGACATAGTCAAAGCCTAATCAAGCAAATGATTGTACTCTTAACTTCACTTTTAATATTAAAATCAATTAAAGTATTCGAATTAACTTTAAGTGAAAGAATAATATTCCCCTCAGTCCTGAGCTGTGTCCATCCCCCTCAACCTCTTGACATGCTGTAAAGTGAAAGATACAGTTCATCCAGAGAGTCTTTTGCAAGGCCATTTATGTGCATTTACTTGAGAGAGAACTCCAGCGGGATGCCATCCATTATCAGCGCAGGTGTAACACAACAAAAACACTGAGCACATGACCATTTTTGGTTAGTCGGAAGTTTTGGTCAGAGGTGTTGTCATTTAGGACTGACTGAGTCACCAGACATTCAGGACATCACTCCACCCACCTGCTTACATGGCTCACCTGTTCAGGTGAAACTTTATATTTAGGGAGTGGACCTGAAGAGCAGGTGCTGATGACGGTTCGCTGTTTCTCCATTGCCCCTCCTCCATCAGGCATTTGTACCTGCTCCACTCCTCACCCATTCAGCAGACTTGTCTGACCGGCAGAAAACTCGACTTCATCGCAAGGAAGAAACAAATATTCAACAGCCTGTATCACTCCACAGTGAGAACGTCGATACGCACTCAGAGCTTTATCAGCAACCTCTGAAAAGAGAAAGGACTTAAATTTGAAGCAGCTTGAAGAACAAATCTGACCAAAATGGTGTCTGCTGGCTTCCAAATGCTGGGTGCAGCCTTGGGGATCATTGGCTGGATTGGAGTCATCGTTGTGTGCGCTGTTCCCATGTGGAGGGTCACTGCTTTTATTGGCAGCAACATTGTCACCTCACAGGTGATCTGGGAAGGTATCTGGATGAGCTGTGTGGTCCAGAGCACAGGCCAGATGCAATGCAAGGTCTACGACTCCATGCTCGCCCTCACCGGAGACCTCCAGGGTGCTCGGGCCCTGACTATCATTTCCATTGTGGTAGGCGTCATGGCTATTCTGCTTGCTGTAGCTGGAGGAAGATGCACCAACTGTGTGGAGGATCAACAGCAAAAAGATAAAGTGGCTGTCGCAGCTGGGGTTATGTTCATCATCGCTGCAGTCCTCTGCCTTGTCCCTGTCTGCTGGACAGCCAACACTATTATCCAGGAGTTCTACAGCCCTCTTCTGAACGCAGCCCAGAAGAGAGAGATGGGTGCCTCGCTGTATATCGGATGGGGTGCTTCTGCTTTGATGCTTATCGGAGGGGGATTACTCTGTGCCAGCTGCCCCAAAAAAGAAAAAGAAACCTACAATGCAAGGTACACAGCTGCCACTAGGTCTGATGCCTCAGCACCAATATCTGGGAAAGGCTACGTCTGAAATATTTACTGGGACAGATGCACCAGAGTTTATGGGTTATGTGTGTTGGTAATTCAGGTTACTTGATGAAACGTGACTCCTCATGAGAGTGTTGGAGTGTTTTGAGATGATGTTAACACCAAGAAAGGAACCACACCCAAGTCTACATAGTCTACAGCTGTGTGTTTGTGTCAAAAGTACTATGTTGTGTAAGTGCTAACAAGTCTAGTATATCCATATGCTTATGTATCTTTTTAAAATGTTCACTTTTGCTCCTGTGCTTGTAGATTGTTTTTCCGAACTATGTATACAAAATTCTCAATGCACCACTTCTACTGTAAATAAATATTTTTACTGTTTACAAATCTGAGAATATGTGTTACTGTTTTTTTGTTTCCACTCAATGTTTGTGTTCAACAGGATTCATTCAGTGGTCACCCACAATCACATTTAAAGGAAATTCTAACATTAAAAACAGTGTATTTACAGTATCCATACTCTTTTTATTGTGCGTTTGACACATTTTTAATGTATATTAATTGTAACATACATGTTCATTATGTAACACGCCATAATCAAAACAAGGATGCTTAAAAAACAAACGTCACAGTATGTGAGAAGCAACCATTCTCCGACTTTCTGGTTGAACAGGTTTGGGTGTGGCAAGAATAATACTGGCTGGAAACCGGCCTGTCTGGTTAAACTGTGAACCTACAACAAAGGTATTTGGACTTTGAATGTAGTCACAGAACCAAGTTTTATTTGTTAGGGGAGTAAATATTTAAAAAGAAACAAAGTCTTGTAGTAAGCAAAGATTTCTGGAGTGTAAAACAATCCACGGTTCTTATATAGCGCTTTTCTACTCTATCTGAGCACTCAAAGCACTTTACACAACTAATTCATTCAGCCAATCACATTTCGTAAGTGTTTACTACATAACATTCATAGACATTCACACTCCGATGGATGTATCTTGCCCAAGGATATTTGGCATGCAGACTAGAGGAGCCTGGGACTGAACCACCAGCCATCTGGTTAGTAGCTGACCTGCTCTACCACCTGAGCTACAGTCAGCTCTTAATTTATGTCTGTGAAGGTCTGTGAAGGTTTTCAGTCATCCAGGTCATCGTAGTCTAAGGAGCTTGGAAAGAAAAGCGTCTGGAGTTGCTTGAAGACATAGAAGAGCCACCTCCACAGGACAAGACTCGGCGGTCCATCTGCATCTAAAGGACAAAGGTCACTACTTAGATGATGCCAATGTTCACATTTTGGACAGAGAGGACAGATGGTTTGAAAGAGGAGTGAAAGAAGCCATCTATGTCCACTGTGAGCGACCATCTTTGAACAGAGGCGGTGGTTTACGACACCAACTGTCTGCCATCTATAATCCAGTTTTGAGATCCCTTCCCAGACGCCTTAACGCCCACTCACATCCTGGGCCATCTGACCTCAGGAAATCACATGATAGGGTGGGGCCAGGTTTCACAATGAGCTCACCTGAAACCTTGGCTGATTGTGTTCAAGGTGATTCAAAGTGCTTTACAGAGACATTAGAAACAAAAACAAATAAAAAGCATGATTTAAAATTGATTAAAACAAGCAAACAAACTAACTAATTAACAAACAAACAAACAAACAAACAAACAAACAAACAAACAAACAGTATATAAAATCAAAACAGATAAAATCAGAACAGTAGATAAAATCAGTAGTTAAATGTAAGTTTTGAAATTTAAGCTTAAAAGTGTGGATTTGGTGCTTTATTCAAATGCAGCTGAGAATAGGTGAGTCTTCAACCTGGATTTAAATAAACTGAGTGTTTCAGCTGATCTGAGGCTTTCTGGGAGTTTGTTCCAGATATAAGGAGCATAAAAGCTGAATGCAGCTTCTCCGTGTCCATCCAGATGACCTGAGGGATCTGGAAGGTTCATACTGGGTCAGGAGGTAGAGGATCATCAGGGGCTCCATTGTCCCTCTTTGGGGGGACACACCCACACCCCATTTGACCCCAGAACTGAAGAAGCTTCTCGTACGAGTTTGTTTTTGCTCAGAGACTGACCTTACCTTTGTGTGCATGCACGTTTGTAGGTGTGTGTGTACGTGTGAGAGAGAGAGTGTGCGTGTTTGTGTGAGGACACCTGAGGATCTGATAGCACTGTTGTTCCCACTGTTGAAGTCTTGAACGACTGAATAAAGCTTGTTTGTGTGAGGACAATGAAGGAAGCTAGAGAATAAGGTCTGTGGATATCAGGTCTCCAGTTTCCCCCTTTGTCTGAGGACACAGAAACTCCACCCTGAAACACAGCAGCAAGCATCTATCTTCTCACAGCTAGGCACAGGAACATTAGACCACAGCAAATCCATCATCAGGCAGGTGTATCTGCAGCACATACAAGACTGGAGTGTGGTTAAATTTTCTGTGGTGCCAACTTTTTCTTTTTCTTATTTCTTGAATTTTGCGTAGAAATCTGTTACAGCAGCATTTTCATGGCTTCTCAGGGCCTCCAGATCTTGGGTGTTTTACTGGCCTTCTTTGGTTGGCTGGGCGCCATTATCACCTGCGGTTTGCCCATGTGGAGAGTCACCGCTTTCGTGGGGGCGAATATCGTCACAGCCCAGGTGATCTGGGAAGGCTTGTGGATGAGCTGTGTGGTCCAGAGCACGGGGCAAATGCAGTGTAAGATGTACGACTCCATGCTGGCTCTGCCTCAGGACCTGCAGACTGCCAGGGCCATGGTGATCATCTCTGTGATTGTTGGGATATTCGGCATCCTCATGGCTGTGATTGGAGGAAAATGCACCAACTGCATGGAGGATGACGTGGCCAAAGCTAAAACCTGCATCGTGGCTGGAGTGATATTCATAATAACCGCCTTGCTGATCTTGATTCCTGTATCGTGGTCAGCTCATGCAGTAATCAGCGACTTTTATAACCCCCTATTGGTTGAGGCTCAAAGAAGGGAGCTTGGATCTTCACTTTACATAGGCTGGTGCTCTGCTGCGGTGTTGCTGATGGGAGGTGGTCTTCTCTGCAGCAGCTGTCCCCCAAAAGTTGGTGGCAGACCCTACATACCTGCCAAATTCAGACCTGTAAGAAGCATATCTTCAAATGTTGATTATGTGTGAGTGTCTCGGCTACAATGCTAATAAAAAGGCACAGCAGTGTACTCGAACAATTCTGAAGGCTGAAGGCAGTAAAAAAAACAGATCACATTTTACTACATTTAATAGGTTTCATACATGTCTTGATCATATCTTGATTCTTTTTTTTAAAGTATGTTTTAGGTTACTGAATGAATGTCAATGCTATTTTTAGATGAAATGTGTATTTTTCACAAATAAATGTTTTGCATGGATACCACCAATTTTGTCATATATATCTTGTAAGTTGCATGTGAAGAGAAATGGACTTGATTGTATGCAGAATTTTTTAAAGCTCCCACTGATAATGGATAATGAGCCTTCAATTGCCAGGAAATTTGAACCTTTTGAAGTGGGAGTGTTTATCTGAACCTTATTGAACCTTGTGACAAATGAAAAAAGAAACCCAACTTGCATATAATGTCTAAGTTGTATTGTTCACAGTTTAGTTCAAAAACATGAGTGACTTAGGGTTTGAAAAAAAAAAAAAGATCCCACTGATGACGTCGAGGTCTGTAAAACTTGTGCATCAAATGTAACACACTTGGTGTTACAGGGTTAAAGTACCAAAAAGACAAAGCTTTGTTCATGCAGCTCCTCCTCCTTTCCTGGAACTCAGAGTACAGACACATTGTAACCCAAACTGGAACTATAAGCTACTTCTTAGTAACCTGTAATGACAAAGTGTTCAAGAATTCAAGGGAGTAGACTCCTAGGAAGTTGGCCGTGTAGTAAAGACAGGAATTTACAGTTTCTGTCTTCAGTAAAATGGACAGTCTGTTGTTCAGATTCGTGTTACTAAGGGAGCCCCTTTTCACCTCTAAAGAATGGATATTTACACTTTGCCCAGTAAGAGGACATCTGCCAAGTCTTGGAAAGACGATATATCCTGAACCACCTGAATGAAAAAAGGAGATCTGTGATTTATAAACACTGTTCCTGGATCAGTTTTGGCCTCTTGGGAGATAGCAAGAGGATAAAGTAAAAGTAGCAATACCATCAAATTTAAAAATCAGCCCACCCCCCCCAAAAAAAAAAGTTTGGCAAAGTGGTGTATACA